ACCTCGCTCCTCCTCCCGCCACCCAACCCCAGCCCACTTCCTCCCCCTTACACCGTTGAGCAATCAATGTTACCCGCATGAATGAGTCGCGCGTGTTCCGTTCAATTCTCCAATTATGATTTGACAAACAATTTCTTGTTTTATCCCCTTCGATTTGGCCAGCATGAATAGCAATGTGACGTTAAAGGAAATTTGCCTTTGATACAGTTGACACAGAGGTTAAAGATACATTCCCCCTAGCACACACACACAGCTATTTACCTAGAGGTAAGCGACATTAGCGTTTATGCAAATGAGGTTTCTGCAGCTAGGACCCCGCGCTCCAATATTGAGACTTGGCTTGGTTGAGTTGAGTTGCGTTGAGTTGTTCGATTATCGTTAAGTTTAAATGCGCTCACCCCCTTCCCTCTCTCTCTCGCATTGTCACCCATTCGTAGTGCATGTGTATAATTAGTGTTGGCAAGCGCTTTTAATAAATGTCATTTCATTTCTTGCTCATGTGCATGTGCTTGCATGTGCATGCATGTGCATGCGTGTGTGTGTGTGTGTGTGTGCGTTAATCTAATTGCAGGCTGCAATTAAACGCAAATTGTTTATTATTTGTCTTTGCTGTCTGTTTTTGTGCTGTTGCAACAGCATGCAACACAAAGAAAACTGACTTGGAGCAGGCAGGCAAATTGCAATGGGTATATGTATGTACAATGTACTTAAGTGCATAGTACAGTTGGCCTGCATTGGACTGGTTTATTTTCGTCTCTTGCGTTTTGGCATCTTTATCGCATTGTTTACAGATCCGCTGAAGATCAAGGTGAACCGGTAGAGGAGGATAAGCGAGACTGTTGCCAAAACCAAATAAGAAAACAGCCACGAGTATCTCCCTGTCTCTTTCACTCTCTCTCTGTCTCTCTCTCTCTCTGTAAGTGTTTTGCATACAAATATTTTATTTTTAAGTTGCCACAAAATTTGCATTGACGTCACAGTTGTACAGCGCGTGGAGGGGGCAATGAGCGCAATGAGCAATGTTGCAAAACGCTAAAGGATGTCGATGTCGATGTGGATGTGGGTGTGGAGAAGTTGTGTTGACAAGCGTGTAATGGAGCCTTAGGCGTGGGCTCGGATGCTGCTCAAGGAATGAGCAAATTAACAAGCATCAACAACTAACTCAATAAGCGCACTTAAGTCTTAAGCCTGCCAAGACAGCATGGATTTAAAGAGGATGTGTTGGGAAACGTGCTCATTAAGCAGACCACTGAAAGCTTTTCATTTATTCACATACACATAACATGTCAATTTTGTAAAGATAATCTCAATAAATAGAATTATAAGTTTATTTATAAGTTTAATTTGATATATGTATATTGGGATTCATTTCAAGATAATACCTATACAGATACACGATGTACACGATGCAGCACATAGCAATTTTAAATAGTAACTATCTGATTAACCAATCGATGAATGAAAACTTGCATAAGTTGGTTGTAATCAATGTAATAAAAAAAAAAGAGCAGACATCTAAACTAAAGTTAATATTCCACATTTGAGTTGGTATTTTGTGTGTCTACGCCTATTGTTTGATTGTTCCTATATGACAGCTATATGATCCGGAGATTAGACAGAACGAAAAAGCTTTATTGAGATATGTTAAAATAGATTAGAGTCTGATCGATAACTACGCACAAATCATGATGTTAATGCTTGAGTTGGTCCCATTGCATTCTCACATCTTCTTGCTATGGAAAATTCCCAAAAACTTGTCGTGCAGCCCAAAATAAGGGTAAGGGCTCATTGAGAGCTCCATGGAAGTGTGGACGAAATAGTTCAGGCCTACGAGAGGGTTGCTTCATGAAATGCTCATCGATTTAACAACGCCTGCTTATCCTGACCTAGTCCAAGAATCACCACATGCGCAACTCTCGCTCGCTCTCTCTTTCTCTCTCTCTCTCTCGAGCTCTCCCTCTCTTGTTGCTCTCTCTCTCTCTCTGAGTCGTTGGGCAGGAGTTGGTACTGACGTAAACATGCGTAAACTCACGTCAGCCACAGCGACAACAATGTTGACAATGTTTGTCTGAACCATCAAAGATGACAAGTTGTCCTCGGCCTCTCTGTTGTTGGCCATGTTCATGCCCATGCCCATGTCCATGCCCATGTCCATGTCCATGTCGACCTTCTCGCCCCGTCCCCCTCACCCTTGACTCCGTCAAGAGCATTCAACTTTGGTTTCGCACGTTTTACGACTGTGCCGCTTATTGATTTTGTATATCAACGGATTTCCCTGTTATTCTTGACTTTCCTAAACATTTCTTCCAGCCATTCACCATGTCCCAAGCATTGTGTTAACAATTTATGTGTATTAATGATTTTGGCTACTCAATTTTGTGGCTATTGAGTGTGTGGCATTTACACAAGTCGAATATGCTAAGAACCTATAAAAACTAAATCAAATAAAGTTGAGTAAACATTTTTGCTTCAAATCGGATTGGATTTGTATTTCTGATACTCTGTAAATATGCAAATCAATAATAGGGGCATACTCAAGTGCTCAAATGTTCGAGACATCAATAAATTGTGAATAAATTCATATTCCCCGACTTAAATGTAATTAAAAGCTGAACGCTTAAGTAAATATTTTCAAATGACGCACAAGAATCAAGTATGCAGTTACTCGGTCCAAATATGTACATATGTATGTATATCATAATTTTCATATGAAAACAAGTAGCAATTACTAAACAATTCTAAGTTTTAAGGTAATTATAAATTACAAGTCAGCAGGGAGAATTTATTTACTTAATATCAACTAAAGTCAGTCGAAACACAAAAAGAAAAAAAAACAGAAAAATACAAAAAGTATAAATTTGATTTAATTAAAATAAAAATAAATAAATAATTTTAAGATTTATAAGATTAAGTTTATTTAGAAGCAAAAAGGGTCTATAAATTGTTGCATGGCTCGCGGAAAATCCAGAAGAAAACAAAAAAGCAATAAAAAATAACTCTTTAAGATCAAAGATGCTTCATTTTGCATAAACTTTTACCCACTTTCAATAGATTATTATATATGATACTCACATAACACTAAATCGGAATCTGTTTTTGAAATATAATTGTAAAAATGTTCACATTTAATACAAATACCTCAAATCGCATGCAATCAATATTTGTATTCGTTTGTAATTGAGATTAATTATTTGATTTTTGTTGCTGCTCTAACTTACATTAAGTGAAATGTTAAATTTGTTGTTTTTTTTTCTACTCGGGCATCGAATAAAGAGAGGAGTATATTGGCCAAGTCAATTTGAAATGCTGCAAGCCCTGCTCACCGACTGAGAAGTTGGTGTTAGATGAGGCGAAAGTGCGGAGTGGTTGGAGTCCAATTGAGAGAGCGTCGCCAGCGATGAAAACAAAACAAACAAGGCGTTGATGAAGAAGAACATCCGAATACGGAATGCAAGTAAAATTGCTTAACGGCAGCGTCGACGCTGCCACCGAAGCGAACAATAAACCACAACTAAAAGTACTGTAGTCGACTACGATTTACCCTGAACCCAGCTGTTAACTATTTTCAGTTTTATTGGAAAATTTCCATTTAAAAGCATTGCACCAAAATGTAAGCAGGTCTGCAAGCACGCTCTGCCGACAAACACGTGAATATTCATACATACATACATACATATATACGTACACGCAATCGTAACGGGGTAACGGGCTCCGCAGCATACACACAAAAACATATTGACGCTCGCGTCGTTTATCGTGCCATCTCTTTCTACCACATGCGCTCGCATATTTATGCATACAGAAAATGCTTGCGGCTGCTGATGGAAATGAGATCAATATGTTAATCTATTTTCGACTATAACTTGGGTGTTTCTTAACCGATCTTGATGAAATTTAGGCAGTTGATCAATAATATGCATATGTATATTCTGTATAAATTAAAAGATGCTGCCTTTGAAATTGTAGCATTTATTGCAATCGGAAATTTAAATGTATCGATAATCGAGCAACGAAGGCAATTGTTGATAAAAATAAAGCAAACTAGAACTACGCCTCGTATACGAGAACCTGTATGCCAAATTTGAAGTCTCTAGCTCTAATAGTCTCTGAGATCTGCGTGTTCATACCGACGGACAGACGGACATGACTATATCGACTCGCCTGTTGACGCTGATCAAGAATATATATACTTTATGGGGTCGGAAATGCTCCCTTCTGCCTGTTACATACATTTGCACGAAACCATTATACCCTTTTTACCCATTTGTAATGTGTTCAGGGTATAAAAAGTGCTCTAAAGTGAAAGTTGAAAACTAAAACAAAATTCAAGAGAAGAAAAAGAAATTAAAGCCAACAATCAACAGCTGAAATGGGAATGACGGGCAGCGGCCGTTGCGGCTTCTATAGTTATGTTCGCTTTGCCGACGTTGACTGCGACTGCGACTGCGACGGTGACTGCGACTGCGACTCTGACGCCTGCATATGCACTAAGTTATGTTAATAACAGACGCTAGCTGCGATGCCGACGACGACGGCGTCGACGACGCCACTCAATATTATATTCAGGTTATTTTGACGCATTAGCGGCAGCTCAGGTGTAGTAGACCAGCCATTGGGAGCCACAGCCAGAGCCACAGCCAGTGCCACAGCCAGAGTCAGAGTCAGTGTCATTGTCGGCCTCAGTTGGTTAAGACCGCGCGAGACGCTTGGACGCAACGGTAACAAGAGCAATCATACAGAAAGACATCAACATCAACATCGACATCCCTTCCCATTCCATTCCTCAAGCAGCTCAACAAGAGCAACAGCAACGGCAACAACAAATAGCACAGATCGAGAGATAGCCAGCCGGCAACATTCAAGTCAAGTGCTCAACTTAACGAAAGCCATATTTTGTAACTCTCTCATTCAGCTTGTTGTTGTTGTTGTTGTTATTGTTGTTGTTGTTTTCTGTTGCCGCACAAATGTGTGAAATTGGCGCGTGAGGAAGTGTGGCCCACAACACCAAAACCAAAAAACCAAAGAAGAAAAAAAAAAAGAAAAAAAGAAAAGTTGGCTCATCGTCGTATCGTATTTGACAAGTAAGCGCACAGTTCGTCAGCCAAGTCAAGTCAAGTCAAGTCAACTCAAGTGTTGAAACTGTTTGGAAAGTGTACTTTAAGTGAGATTTAAAGAATGTAATCGATAAGATTGCTTCCAAATGACCGATTAACGTGAAAACCCTTTCAAATTTGAGTGTTGACTTTTGAGTGTTCCACTAATTACATCGATTAAGAAATCTACTTGTCAGTTAATCAGAGCTCTTCAGTAATCTTTTCGTTTAGTGACATATATCGACTATCGATAAATTATTGCTAACTAATCATCTTTAAGAGTAATCAGAGCTCTTTAATCATCTTATCTACGAGTGATATATCGATTATCGATAAATTATTGCTAACTGATAATCATTAAAATTAATAAGATCTCCTTAATAATTTTATCGACTAGTCATGTATCGATAATCGATCAATTCTTGCAAACTAATAATCGCTGCTTCTATTTACAGGCACAACAAACTATTTGAAGTGATCCACACCCACACCCACACCCACAACCCCACCCCCTCCCCTCCGCCCACCCAGTCCAGCCACCAATTAACGTTCACACACACAGATAAGAGAGACAAATAGGCAGAGGCATAAGTGAAACTATGTCGGAGGCTGTTACGCCCCCAAGGACGACAACGCCCCCAGTTATCGAGGAGGAGAAGGCGCTGTGCTTTCGCGGGATCTGGGCGTGGCTGGTGCTGGTGTTGCTGATTGTGTTGTGCGTTGTGTGCATCATGTGGCTGCTGAGGAAGTGCATCCAGGGACCGGCGTATCGCAAGGCGAATCGCATCGATGGCAAAGTGGTCATCGTCACCGGCTGCAACACAGGCATTGGCAAGGAAACGGTCCTCGAGCTGGCACGGCGTGGCGCCAAGATCTATATGGCGTGCCGCGATCCGAGCCGGTGCGAGGCGACCCGCATCGAGATCATAGATCGCACACAGAATCAGCAGCTTTACAATCGCAGCTTGGATCTCGGCTCGCTGGAGTCGGTGCGCAACTTTGTGGCACGCTTCAAAACCGAGGAGACACGGCTCGATCTGCTGATCAACAATGCGGGCATCATGGCCTGCCCCCGCTCCCTCACCTCCGACGGCTATGAGCAGCAGCTGGGCGTCAATCATCTGGGTCACTTTCTGCTCACCAATCTGCTGCTGGATCGCCTCAAGCAGGCGACGCCCAGTCGCATTGTCGTCGTCAGCTCGGCGGCATATCTCTTTGGGCGCATCAATCGCTCGGATCTGATGAGTGAGCGCAACTACAGCAAATTCTTTGGCGCCTACGCCCAATCCAAGCTGGCCAACATACTGTTCACGCGCAAGCTATCCAATCTGCTCCACGGCACGGGGGTAACGGTCAACTGTTGTCATCCGGGCGTGGTGCGCACCGAGCTGAATCGCCACTTTGCCGGTCCCAATTGGACAAAGAACACGCTGAAGGTCGGCTCGCTGTATTTCTTCAAAACGCCACGTGCCGGCGCACAGACATCACTGCGCCTGGCCCTCGATCCCAAGCTGGAGTGCTCCTCGGGCGGTTACTATTCCGATTGCATGCGTTTCCCACTGATGCCCTGGGCGAGGAACATGGACACCGCCGACTGGCTGTGGCGTGAGAGCGAGAAACTTGTCGGACTGCCGCCCATTGAGCCATCGCCACCCGGACAGAATGCCCAGAATGCTCCCAATGGGAATGGAACACCTGCTGCCCCCGATAAGCACGACGATGACGTGGAGACCGTTGTCGTCGATCGTCCGTCCAGTTGAAGGGCTCCAGTCGGAAACCAGTTTCTAACCTGTTCTCAACTGTTTGCAAATCAGAGATACAAATACATATCTATATACAAATCAGTAAATATATATATATATATATATACATATATCTGGAGAGCAAAACACGTGTGAAGACAATAACTTGGTGGCATGCAACATGCATGGCTGAATTTTTAGTTTATGGAATTTTTTGCATTTTAATCGATTAGCGTTGCTCTTAGCAACGTTGCCAAACACTTTTATCTGATATATACCCTCTGATTCTATACCCACTGATCCGTTGCAGTTCTAATGAACCAATTTGAAGTTTTTCCCCTATCTTCAAAGTATGTTTTTCTATGTTTTTCTATGCAATTGTTCATGTTTTCCCTAATATATCTTCCATCCTCAGCCCAGTGGTGGAGTCCTTGGCACATTTAATATTATTTGTTAGCGCAGTTAAGTCGTAATTCTAATGAATATATTCAATATGCACATTCATCGAAGAAATGAGATTTCATTAATAAAAAATACATAATGTCGCCATACTTACAAATTAATACATAGAGTTTCCCAAATGATATTTAAAAAATGCACAATTTATTGTCTTCACACCTATTTTACTTTCCAGGTGTGTGAATGTATATGTGATTAACTTTTTTTTTTGTTTCGGGTCAGCGCTCGGATTCGGATTTCAATATTTAATTGAACTTTTTTTTTTTGTGTAATTTTAAGTTGAGTACTCGAAATGGAGAAATGCAAAAATAAAACAGAACCAAAACAAACAAATAAAGTCAAAAACTCAACGAACGACAACAACAGCAAGAACAAAGCAAAACAAAAGCAAAATCAAAAGCAAATTGTTGAAATGGCCGCAGTTGCAGCAGCTGCTGCTTCTTCTTCTTCGTCATTCAGTCACTCTGTCCGCATTGCCTGTCGTTCGCGTTCGTTCACATGCCATTAGCGCAAGCAAAAACACAACAGAAATGAAACAAAAAAGAACAAATCATAAGCAACAGCATCGAGAGTGCAATTAAACCGACGCAGGCCACTGGGGGTCGTTTTGCGCCACAAGCTTTGGATTGGGATAATCGTATTACATGTGGCATTATGTATGCATGAATGTGGCAGCCACTAACTGCTGCTGCTGCTCTTGGTCACTGGTCGGCAATTAGACACGCCTAATGGAGGCTTTACCAAGTTGTGCTTGTTATCAGAGCGCAACAAATAACGCGCAAAATGGGAGTTGGCTGCAGATAATAAACACTCATTAAATTTAATTTATGCACATATCTTTAATAAACCAAATCCGAATTGAGCAAATTCCATGGTATGGAAATCACAAACTATCTCTGTAAGAGGTATGAGAGTGTCCACATAAGGGTTAAACAATAAATAAAGCAAGAATCAACTAGCTTCCAGCAATTAACCGAAAAATTGCATGGAAAATTCCATTCGCTTTGAGTGGCTTTGCATTGTGATCACCCTTTTATTCAAAGCATACACACACAACACACACACACATACACTCACAGAGGCAAGCAGAAAAGACCAAACTGAAAGATGCCCTGGCCAAACAAACCCAGATACAATCATTAATTTCTTTTATGAAAAAATTTAAAGCTTATGCGAAACATTAGGCACGTTTATACATACATACGTACATATATTTATATATATACATATGTATGTAAATATGTAGGTAAAATTATTGGAATTTTGAGCATTGGCAGAATTGGTTCACGAAATGCATATGCAAATCTTAACAAAAGTCAGCTGTCTGGCAAAGGCCTAAAACATAAATACATACATACATGCAGACATATGTACATACATACATACATTCATTACAAAATGCGATGAAAAAAAAGAAGCAAACCAAAAACTTTCCACAGAGAGAATCGCATTTTTTCAATGCGAAAAATTACGCTTGAGCACGTACTGAGACCGAAGAACCGCACAACGAGAGAGAGAGAGAGAGAGAGGGATATGAAGAAACGTATGTATGTATGTACATGGATATGCATATTGTGTATGTATGTAAATACATGTAGTAAATAAACACGTGAAAACATTGATGTTAATTGGAATTATCGAATAAACTAAAAACTGCATTGCATTGGCAACTTGATGATGGGTTGAGATTGCAGCAAAACAGTGCAAGTATGTACATACATACACACATATATATATATATATATATATATATATATAAATATAAATGTATATGTATATCTGCAGTAAGCTGTTTGCTTAGTGATATCATTGAATCGTGAATGCAGCTGATGATGCAATCGAGAATTACAAGATAGGAAAGTCGGTCAGTAAACTGTGGGCATATCAAAAGGCAGCTAAAGCAACAAGTGCTTATTGATAGACTATGCACATAAAGGTACATATATATAGAAGAAGATACAGTTACACTTTTAACAGAACTCTTAAAATTATTAATCAGTACAGACAAGATACGAATTGAATAATCTTAGGATCATTTTGAACTAAGACCGGTTACAGGTGAGCTTGTAATTGAGGGTATTAAGATGGTATGCCATATAAGCGAGCATTTACAGGGTATGCATGTGTATATTGTGTGTGTCATTTTACTGCCCATTTGCATTGCAATGCCCAATGACAATTATAATTACAAACGTGACTGGGCATGGGCAGCGCTGAGTCTGAGTCCAAATCAGAGTCCGAGTTCAAATCACATTTAAAATCATTACTGCTATCATTGGCCCGCTGCCCTCTGCCCCCTGGCGCCCTGCAATTTTAATTGCAACTCTATAAAAATAAAAGCAACTTGAATTTATAATAATAAGCATGTCTGCCGTAGTTCAATTAACTTAATGCTAATGTTTCAGCTAGCCCAGTTATAAGCAGAGACATATGTATGTATATACACATATGCATACATACATCTATATACACATACATAGATATGTATGTATGTGGCATACATACAAATGTGGCAAGCAGCTAAGTGTACTTGGGAGTAGAGTGCAGAATGGGCTAACTCGCATTCAGCTGTGGAAAATGGCAAACCCAAATGCCAATGTTTCTCTAATGATGTAAAAACAAAAACAGATGATGTTAAAAGAAAAACAAAACATTTGAACGATCGCAAAAAGCAACAAAAAATGGCTATTAACAAAGCAATTTGAATTGATGGATTCGTTGACTTGCATAACTATAACTAATTTTTTTGTTGTTCATGCATTTTTGCATTTTTGCATTTTTGAGTGCAAAACCAACAAGATAAGTAGAAACTTGAACATTTCCAATTTGGATTTTTGGAAAACATAGCAAGCTCAAGGATTGTCCATTTTTTGTTACCAAAGTTGAAATCATTATTAATATAAAATTTGTTCGAACAACATCTAACATTTTTCGAGAGTTTTTGCTTTCAGTTTGGCATAAAGTTGTGAAATTAGTTGGAACAAATTAGTTGGAACCATATCAAGAATGTTTCGAAGGACCAGTGGCGTAAGTAGTTTGACTGCATTACATATAAATAAATATATATAATATATATATAATATGTATATATATATATATTGTTAAATATTTGTTTGAGGAATTAATACATTTCACAAGAGCACACGAATTTGCTTAAATGCAGATAATACATTTTCCGCCTAAATTATTTTGGCAACAAGACAAAAATCGACCATTTAGACCATAAATAAATAGATATATATGTTTTTATAGTAGACAAATAATTGTGTTTGGCATTTTGTTCCGTGGCGCCACGCAAATTGAATAAAACTGAATTGAATTTAGCCAGTGGGCCCCATCTATCGTGTAAATGCAAATAGCGCCATCTTTGTGTCAATCACTTGGATGTGTATTGCAGTTAATTTGTTTCAAATTTGCCGCCAAAAATTACGCTGAACTCACCGCGGCGCTCACTGCAGCGCTGCCACCTTTTCAAGTAACTGAACTTTAAATATGCACGCATTGATTTAAATACATATTTAAGTATGCAATACAAATGTACTTTATTTTTTTTTGGTTTGGAATTGTTATCAAATACGTATTTAATGTCAATTCGATTTGGCATATAGCATTTCAATGTGCGACGAAACGCCAAATTACTTACGTTTCACCATATGTGGACGTAAGCACCGAGTACGTGACGTATGTGGTAAATTTTAACTGCAGCCAACTTAACGTTGAAGCGAATAATACTAAAGACTACGTAGCATTTTGCCCAGTGTGACCATCATTAGACGATGTTGCCACAATCTACGAAAATTATGATATTGAAGTGGAAGAATTAAACTTGGTGGCAAGAAAGTCGCGAAAGAGTGTTGACTATTGTAAGAAAAAGGTATAATTTGAACGCGCCAAAAGGAATTTACCATCTTTACGCATTGCTTAAAGACAATTTCGCTGCGCCTCCGCTAACAACTGCGCCTGGAATAAATATATAGAAAACGTAACTAACACAAACTCACACACGCACGCAGCAAAAAAAAAAAGAAACTAAAAACTGTGCTGGAGGAGAGCCGCTGACGCTACGCCACGCCGTGTAAAACGGCTCAAAAAAGCACCCAATTTGTTGTGCACCCAACAAAAAGCAGCGAACTAACAAACATAAATATATATATATATATATAACTATATATATATATATAGATATAAGTTAGTTGTATCAATAAGAGGAAAGCGACGCAGCAAAATGAATTCGAAGCGCGTCAAATACACAACGCTGTCAACACAAACAGATGCACCATCGACGAAGAAAATCGTTCCCGTTATTCTCCATCACGACGATGAAGTGGAATCGACACAATATACGTATGCGTATACGACCAATGAGGATGACGACACCGAGACGGCCGTGGTGACCCTTACCGATCGCGAACACGAGGCTCTGGCCAATGCCCAGGAGGTGATTATCGATGAGAATGGGCATGCTGTGACGCTGCAGCAGTTGGTCGAGAACAGCACCGTTGAGGAGGTCGAAACGATTGACCAGGGTGACGGCACACACACCATACTCCGCATTGTGCCCAACATGGCCGACGATGACGATGAGGGCGACGAGGGTGACGAGGACGATGAGGATGACGACGACGATGATGGCGATGGCGATGGTGATGGCGATGGCGAGGCCATCGATGAATATGATGACGACATTGTGGGCGCCGAGCATGACGAGGCCGAATTGGAGGAGGAGAATGAAATGGGCTCGATTGTGTTCGAGGGCACCATCGATAACAGTCCCGAATCCGATTCGCAGTTGCACAACAAAGCCTTCTACTGTCCAAATTGTGGCAATTGCTACAGTGCCGCCGGATCGCTAAAGCTGCACATGCGCGCCTGTTTGCGTCAGCGCAACGAGGTCTCCGCGGAGGATCGCAAGTGCAAGGTGTGCACCAAGGTCTTCAATTCGGTGGCGTATCTCAAGGAGCATATGATGCGTCACACTGGCGAACAGCCGTATCGCTGCATCCGCTGCTATCGCAAATTTGTCGACGAGTCCAAATATGATAGGCACATGGATTCGCACAAGCATCAGGATAAACTGGAGGCCGAGGCCGAGGCACTGGCCGCCCAGCATGGCGGCAAAAAGGTGATCGTCAAGGAGTTCACCTGCTCATTCTGCACAGTTAGTTTCACCGTCGTCTTCGACGTCGGTCAGGTGAAGCGTCGCTACGCCTGCGATGCCTGCCGCGACAAATACTCGAACGCGGAGGCGTTACGCCAGCACAAACAGCAGCTCGAGAAGAAGCGCGAGTATAGCTGCGAGCGATGCGGACGCAAGTTCGTCTTCGAGGGATTCCTGCAACGCCATCTGCCCACATGCGATGGAAGCATTAAGCGCCGTCGTGACATGAAGTAGAGGTGGCAGCAACGTGATGGCAATTGGAGGAGGCGGCGCAAAAGATCTGACCACCACGAAGATGACGAGCACATCGACGAGGAGCAGATGCACCATGGCGTCGTGCCAGATCAAGCGCACATGTCACCGCCAATGCGTTACGTTGTTATTAAACCGGAGCAGCTCGAGGAGCTAGAACCGGAGGAGGAGCAGGAGGAGGAGCACCAGCAGCCCTAGAGGCTGGCCAAAAAAAAAAACAATTAAAAAAAAAAAAAGTTTTATTTTCATTCTTATAAACAAACAAACAACAAACAAACACACACACACACAATCTATAGTTAATCATAGCTTTTAGAGAGTCTAGTATGTATATATGTGATCCCATAGATCATAAAGAGATACTGACAGGAACATGATCAGTAGAAAAGGATGTTTTTTTTTTAAACATATAATAAGAGTTATAAGAATTTGTTATGAAAGTTTCGCGGAGTTTTTAGTTTATTCATTATCTTCAGGGCTTCTTTTCCATGAATTCGTTGTTCGAAGTCAACGTGAGGTGTTCGTACTTTTAATTTGATATTTGCCTATTCATTTACATACCGATCTTAAGTGGTATTAGTGTGTAGATTGTGTGTAATCAATCCCCTAAGCAACATGCATTCATTGACGTTGAATTCAATAAAAAAAAAAACAAAAAAAAAACGAAAAGCAAAATAAACTTAAACATGCGTTATATAATCACCATATTATCAATGATATTGATTAAATTCTATAACATCATTTTGGTTCCAAGAAAAGTGATCATCTCTGACAAGTCCGCACCTGGCTTAGTTTTTAATCCATTTGAGGTTCCTCCACTCTTTGATCAGCACACATAGCTGTCATCAAATCGAACTCTTTCCAAGTTGAAGTTTTGGGCAAAAAATAGAATTCTTTTGAACAGCAGAGAGTATATGCTATATACACAGCGGCCAAGAAATTCAACCAGTTCTATATATATATATATATATATGTATAATTCTGACGAACATAAAACAACATTTGATGCTTTCTGGTCTTTTTTTTTCTCTGTTATATTAACCAATGCAGGACGCAATTGGCATGTTATTCAATTTAATAGGTGATAAGGCGCAGCTAGAAACAAAAAAAAAGTTGCACAAGTGCATTAACTAATTAGTTAAAAGGGGGTTTGAGAGGGAGCAACAGCAGCTGATGCAGTGACTCTTCCCCAGACTCCATCCCCTCCTTTCGTCATTTACGACCAGAGTTTCAGATTGGCGCGCTTAGCGTATGATTTCCAGTCCGTGTGAGCGTAGAACTCCTTGAAAATGGGTGTTACTAGTGTATCCTCGGGCAGAGTCTTGTAAATGGGCTCGCCGTACCAGGTGCCCACCTATAATAATAATTCATATTCAATTTTTGGGTTTGGTTTTTTGGAGTTGCGCAAAATTTACCTCCCAGCCGGGCACGTTCTTCATTAGCTCCGCCTCCTCGTCGCGATTGCGGCGCAGCTGGCGCAAGAATTCGCGATCGCGTTCCGCAATCAGTATTGGGAAAATGACATTCTGGGCGGAACGCATCTCAATTTCGTCGCGCCTCACTTTTTTGGCCGTCAAATAGTAGATGCCCAGGCCGACCGTGGTCACCGCCACATAGGCGCCAATCATTGTGAAGCCTGCGTATATAGTTATATATATATATATATATATATATATGCTTATATTCGTATATTGAAAGTGCATTATTATTAACGCACCTGTGAAATAGCTCTTAGGCGGCACACGGGCAAATGGGATCTTCTTGTATCCACCGGGTGGTGGCAGGTCCTGTTTAGGGGGCACTTGCGACACAGCCGTCGCCATGTTGCCGGCTGCAATGTACAGAATTTAATAGTGCTAAGGTGCACAGACCCATAGCGGCATTTATATTTTAGCTTACGCTTTGAGAATCTGGTGGAAAATAGGATATTTGACTGTCAAAATTTCACGACGCCTTTTGCATAACATACAGCACAATGTGACCGCAGGCAAAAAACACGAAAATACCAAAATAATGTAATCCGCAGAAAAATTAATTTAATATTTGGATGGATTTGTTGATATTTGCAAATGATTTAAACTTAATATTTGTAATTTAATTTCAAGTATATTGCGGCGTAAATCATGACGGTAGCCGTCAAATGTAAATGTCAATATTTTTAGTACTAAAACAGTATTTAAGCTGTAGGCCATGAATCAATATATTTTCTGGCAGCCTTGACAACTACGTAAAATCAAAACTGTGCGAGAGAAATATTCTTCATATGTCTGCTGATCTTATTATAATTGTGTGCTCAGAAAAAACAACTTTCAGTTTAATTTAGAATTGCGCTTTTGCATAAATTGTGCTTATGTTCAATAAATCAATACCATCAATGAATCAATACATCAAGAAGTCAACTATCCCAAATATTGCTCTTCTGAACTTAAAGAAACTGTCGCATGCGCAGCTAAATTCGCAGGTAAAAAATAAAGAAATCATGGAGCAGGTGATCCATCAGGCAGCAATAATGCATATTCAAATATTGCGCGTACACCGCCTTCATCAGCTGTGTGTTGCGTGGGTGGTGCAGTATTTCGTTGGTATTTTCATCAGGTTCGATATTAGGAATATCATGCATGCTCATCGAAATATACAAATATTGGCTTAAGCGTATTCTTTAAATAATCCGAATAATAATAATGGTTTCTCTGCTGATCTTCTTCGATATCCGCCAATACATTTATTGCTATATCGCTATATTTTGCGCTTGATATGTCCAATAAAAATGTATCGATAAAGGCAACAACCACAAAATAATCGACGGTAAGCAACTGAAAGCCAACCAAACCATTCGAATTCGAATAATATTTTAACATTCAGTTGCCGCGCAGCTGCCGTATAGGAAGGGAGAGTAGGAAACTTTTTTCGCTCGCCAAACAAAACGCCACAAGAAAAAGAACATTTCCAAAATTCTTCACTGGGGGAAAAGCAATTTTTTTCTGTGTGTGTGCGTGTTAGTGTCCAACAATTTTGAGACAGTGTTTTCGAGTTTTCTACGCAACAACAGCCCAACAGCCAAATTAGCATAAATCATGTCGCTCTATCGCATTTCTGCACGTAAACTTGTCGACGCACAGGTGAGTTATCCATCTATTAATCCCCCCCTACCCCTCTCCCGCAACAATCAATCATCTATCAGATTTTATAATTACTGTTCAAATGCCAACCGCCACTCGATTCGGTTCGCACGCATTATTTTTGGTGTTGTTTTCAAAGCAAAAGGATCTTGGATACTACTAATCAAGCGTGGCTTGCCAACGCACACATACTCCACACACACCAGCTAGCTGATTGTATGGGCTTGTGTATGTGTGTGTGTGTACGTTTTTGTTGGCAAGGGCAACGTCAAGCCACCAAAAAAAAAGCCCCAGCCATGTGCTTGCGATTAAAAAAGACTGCTAAACGAAAACAATTTATTGCTGTTCTCCGCTCCCGCCCCGCAATGTTAGCAGTTGTAAATAGTCATTTTTAGACATGCTTTAATCGGCTATGTGCTAATTTTCCGGGCACAGTGGGTGATTACATAATCGCACAGAATTTTCACCACTTGGCTAAAATAGCAAAGCGCGAATCTTCTTTATAAATAAAACTCTCACCAGACGCAGTCGCAGTCACCGTCGCAGCGCGGGTAGCGCGACCAGCGCAGTTTGAGTTTAATGAACTTCTTCATCTTTAGTCCCCTTTACCACCAAAGCGCAGCTGCATCTTTTGTGACTGTTATTTATTAAGTTATTTTTGTTGTTTAATTTCCATAAACGTGTCGCCTCTGCTCGGCTTAATTTTGGCTAAAACCTTATTCTTGAACTGCTGTTACAGCAGCAGCAGCAACCAGCCACAACAACAACAATATGACGCTCCCATCCAAAAAGAGCGGCTCTCCGCAGCAGCAGCAGCAACTGTGCAGGTAGCAGCACAGCAGAGAATGATACTGTCAATCTCTCTCACTCTCTCTCTCTCTCTCTCTCGCATTCGCTCTATTTTACTCTCTTGAGTAAGAAAGTTATGCGACACGTGTTGTTGTTGTTTGAGTTCTGCTCTGCTTTGCATATGAGATGCGCTGCGCTGCTGTGCTTCTGTTGCCAAAAGTTATTCTACACAGCGCCAAAAAGATTGTCCGCCGAATGACCTTTAAGCAGAGAGCACATCCACCGCCCACTAGACGCAGTCTGCAAAAAAACAAAAATGCCACGTACATATTTATGCATATATATGTACATGTATATATGTACATGTATATATACAAATATATATATATATATACATATACATTTGTATTTATACATATGTTTGTGTTGATTATGCAATGCCGAAAAATCAGTGGACAAGTTGCGGAAAAACTTTCAATTGAAAAATCAATAGACGCAGGCAGCGGCGCAGGCAGCACTCTCATCACACGGTTTACAGGACGAGCCTCCTTTTAAGCGCATTGTTCTTGCACATCGTTTTTGGGGTTGTTGTTCTTGTTGTTGCTGTTTTTGGAGTGTATGTGCCTGTGTGCGTGTGTGTAAATAAAATAGAGTGAGCGAAAAATAGAGGGGGAGTGAGAGCGACAGAAGGCGATAATGAGCGAGTTAATGTGTGACGCAAACATTTTATGGTGCGTAATATAAAAAGTTAAGTAATCTATTTTGCATTTTCGAAAATGTTATGCATGCGAACCGTTCGCTTATTCCGTTCGTTCGTTAGTTTGTTCGTTCATTGGTTCGTTTGTTCTATGGCCACAAATTTTCTACTCGTCTTTTTTTTCTTCTTTCTGCTGCTGTTATTGGCGTTGTGCCAAAAAACGTGCAGCAACACACACACACACAGACACAGGCACAGGCAAACGTCCTTCACGCTGTTGTGGTTGTTGCTTGGCTATAAATACGAAAATAGGTAAATGAAGAAAAGGGCTCGATATGTACAGTGTACTCGGTTCCGGGACCATTATTGTTCTGTGTGTAACACTTTCAGTTTGCAAAATGCACAACTAAAAATACATACATACACAAATATGCATGCAATACACATACACAATACACACATACACACACAGAAGAACAAGAGGAAGAAGTAGAACAACGACACGCAAGGCCTTTAAGCAGCGGCAACATTTGACGTACGTCCGTCCGTGCGTCCGACTTAATAACAAACACGCGAAATTATTTAACGCCCCGACGCTAATACGTCACGATATCTGATCAATGCTTACGTAAAATGTTGACGTTTAACGTAGCGCAGCGAACAGCGAATCTGCCCTTTTGGCAGCAACTTCGCGCATGTCTGCATATATATGTGTGTGTGTGTGTATGTGTTGTGTTTTGCTCTCTTAGCCGCTGGCAGGTGACAGCTGACAGCTGATCAGACACTTACATAATACAAATACAATGTCACTTAATAAACCGTATTTACTTTGCATCCTCATCGAATAATCAAATATCGAAGAAGAAAATAAACATTTGACATTTATCCAACTGTATTCAAACTCTGTTTAAGGCATTGATCATATATGATATGGAACACATATTCGTCTCAAAAAATATGGGGTTCGCTTGAGAAGTAAAGCAATTGAGCTGTTATTAATAAGTTAATAAAGTGTTATTTATGGCAGCAGCGGTTGCGACATTCCAAGTCGCCTTATCACTGAAAACATGTGCTGCCAATCTCAAGTGGCATTGTTGAAGAGGGGCCCACCTGCAATTTGGGTTTCATATTTCTCTTCTTCGTCTTTTGCACCATGTGTTGAAAATTCCTCTGATATTTAAAGTTATATGCTTGCTGCTTGAGCAGATAACAATGGCTTGGCTGTACGGATGGCGTCATGGAAACTTTGCATGGTAATGAAATTGTCGTCAATGCTTAAGTGTGCTTAGTCTGTGATAAGCAGAATCGCTGTTAATAGCCGATCCGTGATCATGTGATGTAATCGGGTTGACAAACGACACTCATAGCGTGTTGCTCCTCTGCATTGTATGTATATATATATGCATATATACAACATATATATATATATAAATATATATATAGTATATAATATATAGTATTTACATTGTGCAATCGGCAGACGCCCAACCAACATGGCTTAACTGATAAGCATGACAAATTTGTGTGGGGGCACATGATCGAGATCAAAATCGGAACACACGCAGCCAACAAACGTTCGACGTGTGTTGCTGATAACAGCAGACACGACAAGACGACGAAAATAAAAAGAAAAAATGAAAGCTATCAAATATCAAGACAGTGGCCCACGCATTCTGTTAAGAGGTGTTCATTTAATTAGAGGACTATTTGTTTAACACAAAACACTAAACAGAGAAATACTGCATAATATTTACACAGCGAAATAAGATCCCCAATTATTTGCATAGCTTTCGTGGCATGCTAATGAAAGGATCACACATTGATTGAATACAATGAAACAGTTGAAAATAAAACCCGAGAACCCAGTGAAGAAGAAGAAGAAGAGAAGGAAAGGAAGCTAATTAGTTTGTGTGACATTGAAATCTTGACAAGAGCTTGGATATACCCGTTGCATGATTGATGACCCAAAGTAGCCAAAGTAAAGACCTTGCTTTGATTGATGGGCAATATGCCTGATCTTATATTGCTGTTGCATTCATTCAATTCCGCTAATGAACTCAAGTTAACAACAACAACAACGGCTGTTAACAGTGGCAAAACACATTGTGTTTACCTTACTTAACAATAAAGGCAAGAGCAAATATCAACTGGCGGCATAAGGTTGTTGCAAACAAATACACTCCCTCCACCCAATCGTCTATTGTCAACATTTCGATGCAAGCAAATGTTGAACTCAACTTAATATCTTGAATTGAAATGTATATAAAATGGAGCGGGAGTGAAACAGCTTGCCAAACAATTACATTCATTTTCTGGCTAATAAAATAGTAATACCCGTCGACAGCAATTCAGAATAACAACGACACGCAACTGAGGAACGAGGGCAACAAGCAATGTGCAGGGAGGTGTGCCAAATGATTCGTCTTGGGACGGCAATTAAAATTAAAAAACAGAAAAACAGAAAAAATAATGTGTAGAGCGGAAAACAAGTTCGCGATAAACGATAAAACTGTTCCACTAATTCTCTAAGATCGTAGAAAAGATGCCAAGTCACTGCTATCGTAAAGTACACAACAAAATGCATTTAGCTAACTTTAAGCATCATCGATTTCAAGTGCATTCTCCCGTTCACCTTGATGCCAAAACTTGCAATCAGTCGAGGTTCCGTTAATGCGGCGAGAGCTGCTGCAATCGAATTATGAAGGTTGCGTCACGTATTGTTTATGGATCTATAGTTTGTATCTAATTTATCTGTCATGCCACTCGTCTCGTAATTGCCGTTCACGTGAAAATACTCGGGAATTACAATAGACTAAAACAACAACTAGAAATTTCTAGTCGAAAGAGCTACTCGACTACGAGATACCCTGAACCCCGATGTATACTACGGTTATTCAACAGATATTCAACGAAATCCAAGTCATATCAAAGTATATTCCTTTCGTATAACAAAGTTATAGCTTGAAAAATTTAGAGTTCCTTTTTTTTTGCATCGATATTCTTGAAACTATCGGGGAAGAAGTTATCGATCAAATCAAATATACTTGATGAGAACTTATGTATTCCATTTGAATCCTGATACTCTCTCAAACAGCGACATTCATACAGAAAGACAGACAAACAGGCGGATATGGCTAGATCGACTCGATATATATATGGAGTCGTTGTGCCATTTATAACGTGTACTTAGGGCATACAAGGTAAAAGTAAAAGTGCAAGCTTACACACAACACATTGTTGAAGCTCACACTGATCAATAGTGCGCTCCACGATGTGAACCGTGAAGCTAATGCCGTCCCAGACCTTAACACGCGACTGCGATTTCCTTGGTATTATTTATATATATATATATATATATATATATATATATATATATATATATATATATATAGTATATACTGCATACATATTAAATATATGTTATATAGGCGATAAGTTGGAAGCGCGTGAGACCGTTGCGGGGACCTTCAATTTTCAATGGGCCAAGCGCTTATCAGCGACGGGGCGCTGTTTGGAACGGGGCCATTCCTCCCTCTTATCTCTCTCGCACTCTCTCTGGCTCTTTCTGTGCAAGAAGGCAGACGACACACGCCCGTGAAACTAATCTGATTATGTTCATGACTTTCACATGTATTATGCAAACAAATGTATTTTGCGCAAAAAAAAAGATATATTTATATATATATAAATATATATATATATGCATATATGTGTGGATACACAAATAATCAAGTATCTATAGGAAAGAATAAGTATCTTGGCGAGCGATAAGATAATGATGGGCCCCCATTTACAATGCAAACAAAAATGAAAAAAATTACGCAAAATAATGCGCTTTGTGTGCGTAAAATTGAGTGCGAGACTTAAACGTGCGTGGTGCGTGTGCAAACTGTGCGTTGAGAGATGAGAGAGTGTTTGTGTGACGCATGTCTCTTCATTATTCGCACTGTTACGCAAGTTTAGCTAAACAGTTGATGTCATCTCTAATCTCTCACTCTCTTTCACCCACTCTCTCTCTCTCTCTCTATTTGCTCGTATTCGTTATTATTCCTTTTTGTTAGCGCATGATTAGCCGAGCAAAGAAAATACATACACACACACAAGCAAACTTTGACATCTTAATTACCATTGGCATTTACATGTGTGTGTGTATGTGTATGAGTCTGTAGCTGCGTTGAGAGCGCTAACGTTGATGCTGACGTCTCCGCTGCGGTTGCGGTTTATGCACCTGACAAAACGACGTTTTGTTTTTTCCCCGTTTTATTTGTACAACAAAAACAGCTCCGATTGCATTTTGTTGATTTTTTCGGTCACTCTGCATTTATCGTAATAATCGTGAATATCGTGATTTAATGGATGGGCGTTGCAGCATTTGCGATGGTGCGATTGCGATATTTTCAATAGTTTCATATTAATCAACACTTTTTTGTAATGTGTAGAAAATGGAAGGCGTGAATTAATCATTCTATATAAATTATTGTGTGTAATTGATAATGATTAGTAATTATTTAATCATTATTATATCAAGCTATGTCATAAATTATACGCTGTGCAATTTAAAATGATTTGCATTTGCTGATAGGAGGCCATCATCCATCCCACTCATAATATCGGTAAACGATGACGAGCAGCACATAGTATGCGTAAATTATATAATTTTATCAATGAAATCGGGCTTTTGGGACACCGGCCAGTGAAAACCGGTTAGTGTGTTTATGTTTACACACACACACACACACACACACACAAATCAATATCGATATGCACATACGCAAAACAAACTAAACAATAAACTTAAGGCGTGGAATTCAATTTGAAAACGAGTCCGTCGCTTGGCGGCGCCACAAGTTCACATGGTTAATTGAATTTGCTGACCCACTAGCCGCAAAAAAAAGAAAAAAAACAACGAGACAAGAGAGAGAGAGAGGAGACGAACAGCCGCCAAAGTCAATTGCACTTTGCGCTTGAGCTTGGATTCCGTTTTCATTACCACGTCGATTCATCTGAGTAGACGCCGCGCGTGGCAACAGCAACTGAACGTTATGTGGCTTTGGAATTTTCTCTGTCGCTTTAAGCTTCAGTCTCGATGGCCTGATCGTAAAAGTAACAAAAAAAACTAGTTGTAACCGGATTTGCGTGACTGCTTCTTCTTCCTGCTTGCGGTCAAACTTGCGTTGATCTTTTGCGTACGGCGTGCTTTTGTCGACGCCGCAGTCGCGCTGCCGTCTTCGTCAACGTTTTTTATTTGCGTTTCTGTTTTTGCGTGTGTGCTTTCGCAGTGAATTATGCAACAACAACAACGAGAGCATGAAGAATAAAAAAATAAAAATAACATTAAAAAAGCTACTGCCACTGGGGCAATGTCTGATCAACGAACGGTTGAGTCATGGAGATGTAGCACTGAGGCTGCTGCATTTGCTGCTCTGCTTCGCTCAGTCTGCTCTTATCAAAAAATATATACGTATACTCCACATATTGATGTGTATGTGTGTGGGGATTGGCGTTGCTTATCAATAGAACTTGACTTGAACGTAATTTCACGCGTAGTCGCGCCTTGAAGTGCGGCTCAATGACAGCCAATTGGATTGGCACAACGCAGCTGATTGTTATCGATAAACGAAACATTTACGCCTAACAGCAACAACAACATAAGCCTGCTAAGGAGGTAGCCAGCCAAAATGAGCATAATTTTAGCATAATCATTTCAGTGCTGCCAACTTTCTAGTTTTTCGGTTCAAATAATTCAATGAGGCATTGAGAAAAATTCAAAAAGCAAAGATAATTAAAAAGAAATTGAATTGCAAATGTTTCATCCTGCTCATTTTTGTTGTATTTCGTTACAGAAAGCTCCTATTGTTGGCGCTTATGTGCGTCAAATTGCTTCTGATGGCGCCAGCCTGCGTGAAGTGCTTGCCGCCAAGATCCCCCAAGAGCAGGAGCGGGTTAAGGCATTCAGGAAACAGCATGGTTCAACAAAGATGGGCGAGACGACCATTGATATGATGTACGGTGGCATGCGCGGCATCAGGGCTCTGGTTACAGAGACCTCTGTGCTGGATCCCGATGAGGGTATTCGCTTCCGTGGCCTATCCATTCCCGAATGCCAGAAGGTGCTGCCTGCCGCACCGGGTGGATCCGAGCCACTGCCAGAAGGCCTCTTCTGGCTGCTGATGACCGGCGAGGTGCCGACCCAGAGTCAGGTGCAGCAGCTATCTTGCGAATGGGCCGATCGTGCTGCCCTGCCCCAGCATGTGGTTACCATGCTGAACAACATGCCCACCACACTGCATCCGATGTCGCAGTTTGCTGCCGCCGTTACGGCCCTCAATCATGACAGCAAATTCGCCAAGGCGTACTCTGCGGGCGTGCACAAATCGAAGTACTGGGAAGCGACCTATGAGGATAGCATGGATTTAATTGCCAAACTGCCGGTGGTTGCTGCCACCATCTATTGCAATACGTATCGCGGCGGCAAGGGATCCCGTGCGATTGATTCCAATCTGGATTGGTCTGCCAATTTCGTGAAAATGCTCGGCTATGACACTGCCCCGTTCACCGAGCTGATGCGTCTCTATCTAACCATTCACAGTGATCACGAGGGTGGCAATGTGTCCGCTCACACCACGCATTTGGTTGGTTCCGCACTCAGTGATCCGTATCTATCGTTTGCCGCCGGCTTGAACGGTTTGGCTGGTCCACTGCACGGTCTGGCCAACCAGGAGGTGCTCCTCTGGCTGCGCAAGTTGCAGAAGGAGGCTGGCAACAATCCCTCTGAGGAGCAGCTTAAGGAATACATCTGGAAGACGCTCAAGTCCGGACAGGTGCGTTCATTTACCATAGTACCAATAGCTCCAAGACTATATCTAATCTGTCTGTTAATTGTTTTTTTTTTAGGTTGTGCCCGGCTATGGTCACGCTGTGCTGCGCAAGACCGATCCTCGTTATACCTGCCAACGCGAGTTCGCCCTCAAGCATCTGCCCGATGATGATACCTTCCAGCTGGTATCGAATATCTACAAGGTGGTGCCACCAATTCTAACTGAACTTGGCAAGGTGAAGAACCCCTGGCCCAATGTGGATGCTCACTCCGGTGTTCTGCTGCAATACTATGGCATGAAGGAGATGAACTATTACACCGTACTGTTCGGCGTCTCCCGAGCCCTCGGCGTACTCGCCTCCCTTGTCTGGGACCGTGCCCTAGGCCTGCCCATCGAGCGTCCCAAGTCCTTCTCCACCGATGCGCTCATGAAGCTGGTGAAGAAGTAAGCACAGCAAATTCGTTAAATGCAAAAGAAACGAAAAAAAACAATGCTGCGTTATCCAATGCAGTAGTGTCCTGTGGCTGGGGGAAGGGGGGAGTTCAGTAAATGTACAACAACAACAACAACAAAAACAACAACAATAATAATATTTATATTAACACCAACCAACAATTCGAAACGTGAAGCAAAAATATTAGCAGTTGGCAAGTAATGGACGAGAGAGAATCCACGCAGATGGAGACGATGGAGTATTGACGATAAATCATAAAAGTATGATGGAAATCACAACAACAAGGTGTTGATATTGGGATAGCGAGAGAGAGAGAGAGAGAGAGAGGGAGAGAGCGATAGAGAGAGAAGTGAGAAGAGAGGATAGTTAAGGAAGTTGAACAAATCTAGTAAAGGAAAATCAAGAATAATAACCAAATGCGAAATCTGCAACAGCAAAACAATAAGTTGGAAATAAGGCAACCTTTATATTTAGTAATGTAGCTAAATTATAAATGAATCATATAAAAAAAAAAAAAAAAAAAAAAAACACATAGAATGAAGAGAGAAATGTTAAAATGCAAATGCAAATGCAAAAATAAAATCACTTAAACATATGTTTAAGCGCTATTTATACCATATTAAGATCAATCTATAATGGGAAACAACAACTGTTTGCACACATCCCATTTTTCACTTTTTATTTACCAACTTTATGTTGAGCATTTTTTCCAACTTCAACAAACGCTTTGCTTTTCGTATGTCCTTCCTGAACTGCTTAATTAGTTTGTTACTTAATTAAACTTTAAGCCGATATTATGTTTGCGGTCTCTTATGCATTGACTAAACTTACCGGAGGAAAACCCGAACCACTCAAAGCCCCGCTTAATTTCTAAAAACTAACTTGATAAAACTTTACTTTTAATTTACCCTTTAACTATATAGTTTTTTTCTTTTACGTTTATTTTAAACAATGGAAACATATTGTTATTTTATGTAATTTATTGCAAACCAGTAAATATAATAACGAAAATTAAAATACAGACAAACAAGTGGAATGAAAAACCCTCAAAAAACCTAATAAAAAACAAAATAATATAAAAACAAACGCATTCAGAGCTTTTTATTCATTCAAATTTTGGCGGCAGATAACAGCGGATCAGTGTGCTCTGTTATTAAGCATTAATGGTCACACCGCAACAACGGCAACTTATCGACCGACCGACACAAATGTTGAGCCGATAGTGGTTCATCGATAAAATATCGTTATATATATTGCAGCACTGTTAGCCGATTTGCGCACCGTGTTACATCATTTATAGACAAATTATAGGCAAATTCAACGGTATTTGTGCAGTGCAAAGCGAGAAGACAAACAAATAGTTATAGCTAGTAGAAATGTGCATGCAGTTGGAAAATTGGAGCGCGATTTCATAACGAACTAAGCCCAAGCCAAAGCCCGAAGACAACACCAACGTGAACTTGCGGGCTGCGTGTTTTGGGTCGCGTTCGCCGGAATATAAACATACGATGAGCGAATTAAACACCAATCAGGTTAGTTGCTGGCCAGGTTTAACAGTTCAGTCCCAAATACGCAACACCAGCCAATCAGCGAAAAATTATCTGTATATCAGTATATGTATATAAATATATATATTTTCTTTGATTACGATTACAAACACACACAGACATAAATAAACTGCGCCGTTGCAGCATCTTTGAATGTGTGCGGCGTGTTTGTTTCTGTGTGTGTGAGAACAAATATTTAATTTTCACTTTTGACTTATTTAATTCATTTTTTGTTAATTTTTTTTTGTTTAGTTTCGCCTTTGATGTCATATTTTGTTACACTTGCCTTTGTCTTTTCAGTTTTGTGCCATTGATTTTTGAGTATTTCAGCCTAAAAAGTACGAGGAATAAAAAACAAACAAAAAAAAACAAAAAAAGTAAAAACCAGCAGCAGCAATTAGAGCAAGTAAATCCGATCCCAATACCGATACCTATATCCATCCCATCCCCGAAACACCAAACAAAACCAAAATCAACGTGCACTTTTCGTTATAATTTGATTGTTTACTTCTTGGTTTGGGTTTTGTTGATTTGGACCGGGACAGGGATAAGAGATAAGTGATAAGGGATAAGGGGCAAGGGTATCTGCATAGGCTGCATACCTTTTGTTTTGTATCAAAATTCTCTCTCGTTTAACAAATCGCAACGCAATTCACGCAAATTCACCAAACCAATGGCGGCCTATTTGAATCGCACCATCTCGCTGGTGACTGGCCAAACGGGCCCCTCCGGCAACGACCAAAACTCGACGGGCACCGACTCCGTGGACGATTCACGTCACAATCTATCGCTGCAATCGTCCGCCTCATCGACGTCGGCCAACTACAACGCCATCACTGATAATCGCATGTATCAATCGAATGACAAATCGCCGCTGCAGATATTCGTGCGCGCCAAGAAGAAGATCAACGATATCTATGGTGAAATCGAGGAGTATGTGCTCGAGACAACAACATTCATTAATGGTAAGCAGTTCCTGATAGCTTCAAAAGTAATTACGTAACTCATTCATCTACTCCCTTGCCTTGGCTTGTCTTGCCTTGCAGCTCTTCATGCGGACGCGGAAATTGTGGACAAGGCGGAGCGTGAGCTATTTGAGAGCTATGTGCATAAGGTGGCTGCGATACGTGAGGTACTGCAGCGGGATCACATGAAGGTCGCCTTCTTCGGGCGCACCTCCAATGGCAAGAGCTCCGTCATTAATGCCATGCTGCGCGAAAAGATTCTGCCCAGCGGCATTGGGCATACAACAAACTGTTTCTGCCAGGTGGAGGGCAGCGATGGCGGCGAGGCCTATCTCATGAAGGAGGGCTCCGATGAGAAGCTCAATGTGGTGGTATGTGCGATAGCCAATGTCAATTAATCGTCAAAACAGTTCAAATATGTATATATCTTAAGGTCTAGGCTATATCTCCAAAAACATATATATAATGCTGATTTAAGCGATATTTAGTTGTGCCGATATTGATTTGATGATTTTTTCTAGAACATAAAACAACTGGCGAACGCACTGTGCCAGGAAAAGCTGAGCGAGAGCAGTCTGGTGCGCATCTTTTGGCCACGGGAACGCTGTAGCTTATTGCGCGATGATGTCGTCTTTGTGGACTCGCCGGGCGTTGATGTGTCCGCCAATTTGGACGATTGGATTGACAATCATTGCCTGAATGCGGACGTATTTGTGCTAGTCCTGAATGCGGAGTCAACAATGACACGGGCGGAAAAGCAATTCTTTCACACCGTCTCCCAGAAGCTTTCCAAGCCCAATATCTTTATACTGAACAATCGATGGGATGCCTCGGCCAATGAGCCCGAGTTCCAGGAATCGGTAAGATCATTTTTGTTCTCTGCCTTTCCCTCTTTCTCTTTCTCTCTGTCTCTATCTTTGGATGGATATTGTTAGCGTATTTGTAAATGTTGTATATTTCATTATCTTGTTTACTATACTACCCAACCAAATTCGACATGTAATGTTAACAACGCCAGGAACTGGCTAAGGTAATGTCATCCCAGACCCAGGCCCCGACGAGCTCTTGCTAACTAAATGCGCTTTGTTGGCTGTGTTTTGTTTTGATTTGCCTGCTCACAGCCTGCCACAGCTTCGATTCAACATGAATATGTCTATCGTTCATTAATTAAACATAGAATCACAAATCTGGTTGTACAAATGTAAAAAGCTTACTTTCATCTCTCTCAATGCTAATAATTAATAACAATGATCAATGAATGATCAGTTTTGCATGAGCCTCGAGCAGAGATCGATTAAAACGATTTACAAGACATATTCATGTGATAAGCTGATATTTGTGCACTTTATAAATGGGATGCTTAATAATTAATTATTTATTGGCTGCTGCTGTTTGCCATCTGCAGGTTAAATCACAGCACACGGAGCGCTGCATCGACTTCCTCACCAAGGAGCTGAAGGTGAGCAATGAGAAGGAGGCCCAGGAGCGAGTGTTCTTTGTGTCCGCCCGTGAAACGCTGCAGGCACGCATCGAGGAGGCCAAGGGCAATCCGCCGCATTTGGGCGCCATTGCCGAGGGCTTTCAAATACGTTACTTCGAGTTCCAGGACTTTGAGCGCAAGTTTGAGGAGTGCATCTCGCAGAGCGCGGTCAAAACCAAATTCCAGCAGCACAGCTCGCGCGGCAAGAGCGTCTCTGGCGATATGCGCTCCATGCTGGACAACATCTACGAGCGCATCACAATCTTTCGCAATCTAAAGCAGGATCAGAAGAATATGCTAACTGAACGCATTCAGGGCACCGAAACGCAAATGATGCAAGTGACGCGCGAAATGAAAATGAAAATCCATAATTTGGTCGAAGAGGTCGAGGAGAAGGTCTCCAAAGCACTGAACGAGGAAATCTGGCGACTGGGCGTTCTCATCGATGAGTTCAATATGCCCTTCCATCCGGAGCGTCTGGTGCTCAACATTTACAAGAAGGAGCTGAACGCTCATGTCGAAAGCGGCCTCGGCAGCAATTTGCGCGCCCGCCTCTCCATGGCGCTGGCCATGAATGTGGAGTCAGCCCAAACGGAAATGACGGATCGCATGCACGCCCTGGTGCCCAACGAGCAGCTGAGCACGCACAGCGCCAAATTGGCGGTGCGCACGCAACCGTTCGAAATGCTATACTCGTTGAACTGCCAGAATCTGTGCGCCGACTTCCAGGAGGATCTCGAGTTCAAGTTCAGTTGGGGCATTACGGCCATGATACAGCGATTCACGGGCAAAGTGCGCGAGCGGAGCAAAAAGCATACACCAGCCTTGGTCAATCGCCAGAGCAGTATTGGGGTAAGTTCAATCCATAGCTCAAAACGTAAAACGTAATTCATTTCTTCTGTGGTGGATTCATAAATCTTCTCTCCGTTCGCAGCACACTGTCGTTACGCCCGTGAGCACTCCGGTGGAGACGACGCCCGTTTGCCTGCTACCGACACCGGGCGTTGCTGGCATTACGCCCGAGCAGCTGTCGGTTATATCTCGATTTGCCTTGTCCTCAATTGGATCGCAGGGCACCGTTGGCGGTCTCGTTGTCGCTGGCATCGTAAGTGTTGAGTAGTAAGGCGGCAAAAATTATATTTTACCAGCTGCCTGGCAGGTGCTATTGTATCGCTATGTCCTGAATACCAAACACTTACAGATGCTGAAGACGATCGGTTGGCGTGTGCTCGTTGGTATTGGTGCCCTCTATGGTTGCATCTATCTGTACGAGCGCCTCTCCTGGACCAATTCAACCAAGGAGCGCACATTTAAGGGTCAGTATGTGCGACATGCCACCAAGAAGCTCAAAATGATTGTGGATCTAACATCGGCGAACTGCAGCCACCAGGTGCAGCAGTAAGTATTTGTATTAGAAAGCCACTTTTCTTTAGCGTTCTAATTCTATTTCTAAATTCATTACACATTCCACATTCCAATAGGGAGCTGTCGAGCACATTTGCGCGCTTGTGCCGCACTGTGGACACCGCCACCACCGATATGAACGAGGAGCTGAAAACGCTCGAGGCGCAGCTGAATGTGCTCGAGGCCAATCAGAAGCAACTGAAGCTGTTGCGAAACAAGGCCAACTACATACAGAACGAGCTGGACATCTTTGAGCACAACTACATTGCGCCGCAGTAGATGCAACTGCATCAGCTGCCCCATAGCGCCCCATTGGGCTCAACGCGTCTAGAATTAAGAGTTCAAGCTTTAAGCATCCAGCTCCCAATACGAAAATTATGACGACTACAACAAACAGAACAACAACGACGACAACTCCCCAGTCCAACAGATAAATTGCAATTTCAATCATTTTGTTTATATTTCTTGATTATTTTTTTTCTTAAATTTTAAACGCATGTTATATTATTGTAACATTTTTTTTTTGGCTTTCCATTTTATTTTTTTTGTATCAAATCTGCAGCTAGTCGAAAAAGGCTATTGTTGTTGTTGATTTTAGACAAACTATTACTATTAATTTATTTTGTTTAGCCAGTTTTTATTTTATATAAAGATATATTGTAATTGTTGTTGTTACACTCTGCATACACTGTGACATGGCCGGGAGCCATGAAAACTAAAACAAAAATTAATAATTATATTATACCTTATACATTATATGAAATAGTCATTGTTTATTATTGCATACAATTAAAGCTACTTCATTTTTCAATGGTATAGTATCTTTTTATGATTTCAACTCTGATATGCAATAAATTCAAATTATTAAAACTTCAAATTCTGTTTATACTTTATTGTTCATCGGGTGCGAGTGGGGCAAACGGCACTGACTTGCTGTTGTGCGAGCGAGAGCGAATGAGCTGAACGCACACAATTCTGATTCATTGCTGATAATTGTTGATTTGATTTCACAACGTTCGAGGCATTATATCTAAGCGTGTTTATTCTTTATATTATAGAGCACAGACTTGAATTTCACATTCTTAACTTTACTTTACAAAATGAAACCTTCGGAGAAGGACGAATGATGAGGGAATATACGAGGTCTTCACACAGAATATGCATTGGTCATTGACACGGAAGATCTTATCCTGATATAATAGCTATTTGATCAGCAATTAGTTAGATCGCTGTATATGCCCCAAGTTCAAGAGCATATTTGGTATCTGGTATTTGGCTTCAAAATAAATCAACAGAGATTGGTTTAAGAATCCGTCGTCAAATGGTGTTCCGAAAAGAAATTCCGATAATCAGTCGATCGACTTTCTTGTATTTAAGCTGATCCGTATACATAGTGATGGGTATATATGTAGTTGCCGATAGATTACCATCAGAGTCAAGCTGTGTCAGTGTAGGTGTAGGCGATAATAATAATATGCGGTGAATTAAATCGTTTGCAATCTATATTTTACTAAGCATTTAAGATATTGTATATGAAGGGAATTTTCCAATCAATTCATTTGGAAAATATCCTTAAGTATTTTTAGATATCTAAATACGAGTACAGGCACATTATATGTAAGTATATACAATTGAAACGTTTCTCACGGAGTTGCACTTAATTGAGGATGATGAAAAATGAAATGCATTTACAAATTTGTCTTTTGCTCTTATGAGTTTCCTTTGATCGGGTTTCATTTGTCGCGCTTTGAGCCACACAATCGGCTTTAAATACAAGTAGCACAAAGGTAAACAAATATATATTATTGATCTACAAATAGATAAGAAATATATATAAAAATAACGGCTGACTAACCGGGAACAAAAAAATAAAATTGAACAAATCTTTTGAGCATGACTACTTTTGACATGAATACGTTTTTTCTGTTTTGCTTTTTTTTCTTCTCTCATTACGCGCCAACTAATTTATTAACAAGTTTATGCGCGTGTGTGTGTATGTGTGTGCGTGTGTGTGCATGTGTGTATAGATGGAGTTTTGGCTTATCTGCTGGCGGCTGCCGATTTCATCGGTAGGTAATTCAATTCAATTTGGTCGCTGGCAGTGCGAACGGGCGGAGCATCGTTTTGGTCGCTTGATTGTTTCCGTATCTTGTTGTTGGCTTCTGCAATCTCGTTTGGAGTTCTACAAGAAGTAAGGCGTCGTATTCTGTTTGGGTATGACACGATCTGAATCGGGAACGGCTAGGAAGATTTTCGTTTCGAGCTGTTGCGCCGTTTCAAAGCTGAGTATGGCCGCCACATTGCCGCAGCGATAGCAATAATTGGGCGCAGACCAAACTGTAACCAGCTTGCCCTCGAACATATATTTGATGCCCTCGTTGACCAGCTGGTGTGCTCGACATATCAAATCCAGATTGTTGATGGTCATAAAGTCTTTGGTCACATTATGACCAAACAGCCAGCCAGCACCACGCGGACTCTGGCCCCTAGAAACGAACAAAAAATAGTAAAATAAAAAACAAACATTCCAAATATATCGACATTTACCAATACTCCATGTCCTCCGGGTCGGACCAGACCAGATCACAGAAGGCTCCCTTATAGGGTATCTCACCATTGCGCTCAATGGTCCGTATTTGATCTAGCGTTATAATCTCAGGACTCAGGCCGCCGTGCACGCACAGCACAGTCTCGTCAATGATCTAAAATAGTTTTGATTTGATATATATATATAGATTTGCCAATTTATTAAATATATACATATATATGTATAAAGTGTTTTGTATAGATTTGACTTACCGCAGCGATAGTGAGCAGATCGAACACCTTGCAACAGTATTTCCAGCCGTTCGCATTGCCATACTTGCTGAAGCACTCGTCGAAGAAGCCGTAGACTTTTGTTATCTGCCGCGTTTCGTGGTTGCCCCGCAATAGCGTAATCCGGCTGGGATAGCGGGCCTTGAGCGTCAGCAGTCGGGTGAATGTCTCCAGGCTGTAATAGCCCCGATCGACAAAGTCACCCATGAATATGTAATTCGTGTCGGGCACTTGGCCGCCGGTTCGAAACAGTTGCTCCAGATCATAGAACTGTTTGGACGCAAGATAAACAAGCAAAGTATGTATGAAATATGTGTTGATGTGATTAGGGAAAGCCAAATGCCGAAACAGAGAGAGAGAGAGATGGAAAGAGAGAGCGAGAGAGAGGAGAGTATTCACCTGGCCGTGGATGTCGCCACAGACTGTGACGGGCGTGCTCACTGGCTGTATGTTTGTCTCCTCCAACAGTATGTCGCAGACCATATCACAGAGTTTCTTCAGTTCATTTTCGGGCAAATACTTGCATTCCTTCACAATCTCAATCCATTTGTCCAGATCACCCATTATTATTATCGCTTCTGTGTTTTGCGCAACGCACCCGAAGCCACTCGATAAAGTTAATTAGACAAAACGCAACAAAATCACCGAATAACCATGAAATACCAAAAAAAAAACACGAAAATACCAATAAAAACAAATGAAGAAAACAAACTATCGATAACACAAAAAACAGACCGTATTTTCAAATGTGTCAAAACAATGTGTTAAAAATACCAACGTATGTTAAAGGAACGTAACATGGACTTAACTGTTAACAGATGCACTGTTAAAAGTTTCAAAAATCGCAGTTCCGGAAAATAGCAGGTAAAAATGACTACAAATGAAATGCCTTAAAAATGGGAATGAGAATATTGATAAAGATTTGTCAACAGATAACTAAAATATAATTTGTATTTTCACCACTCTCGCCCGTTTTCTTAATTTTGATTTGAAAAATGAATTCGTTGAATGTTCTTTTTACAATTTTTTTTATTTTGTTTTCATTTTATGTTGTTTGTTCTTTTTTGTTTGTTTGTTTTTATTAGTGCTTTTAGCATGAAATTAGTTGTAATTAGCTTCTGCTTTAAGCAAATCATAATTAGCAGGCAACCCGAGCTCCCTCGAAACAACTATTTGCTGTTGATGCCGCTCTTTGTTTTGCAGCATATAGAAATAATCACGCTTTTAAATTTGATTACTGCCGCGCGAGTTGCTTGTTGAATTTTAGCTATGTGGCTTGTAATAGGACAGATACATGCTGGCATCTTGTTGTCTAGGGAATGGCTCTGGAACGGGTTAACCGGGTCCTGAGTCCTGTGTCTTGAGTCCTGTGTCCTGAGTCCTGTGCAGCCTGGTGCGAGTCGACAGTTGTGAGCTGTGAGTGGCGAGTATCGTGTTTTCAGCGGTTTGGCGTGGCAGGCAGCAAGCTCGGGTATTGTTTTGGAGAGTCTCATTAGAGACGCGCGCGAATTTTTGTTCGCTGGTTTTGGGACAATTCAAGTTATTCGTTTGGTTTCCTTGATGTTGTTTTTTCCGGGGTGTTTGGTGCACTTTGTACTCCATAGTCTGTAACTTGTGGCTGCCTGCCATGAAATTGGATTCAACTGGCGTGCTGGGTAACAAAGAGTTAACCTTATTTGCAGCTAACGAGTGCTGCGTAAATCAGTCAAAAATTGCTAAATTTAGTGGGGAATCTTGCAGTTGAATTTCTAAAAGGGATACCATTTATTTGCATATATATTTTATTTACTTATTGATAATTAATTTACAATTGGCAGTCGGGTGTTACCAACTGAGGAGGACCCTGATACGACAGCCTATTGCCCCGCCTACTCCAGCTCTTTTAATTCTGACAGATAAAGGCTTGGCTATCTTTTCTCTGGCAAGCAATTTTCATTCAAATCTTAGAGCGGTTGCCCAGTTCCTCAGTCTACGCAAGTTATCGCCCTAGCTTGGTAACTCTAGCCCAAAGACTGTGGATATAGACAAAGGATATTGCAATTGGTATGTGGGCGAATTATTTATTTTATTTGCACTCGGAGAAAAATCTTTGTGAATTTTCGAAACTCACCATGCTTGTGGCGACAAGGGATTACCCTGCGAAAGTATATTTCTATGACAGTAGACAGTAAAACAGACTTTCCAAAAACCAACGTTTTTCTCAATGCCAAGGATTGGATTTTGATAAATGTACATAGCATGCTTACATTAGCTTATGTAAGCTTATATTATTAATAAACATTAGTATTTAAAGATTTTAAATTTTGATATCGCTTTTCGTCGTTATCCACACATTCGAACATAGATGCAAATGTAGATGAGCATCGTGAGTAGACATAATTAAGGACGAGACAATTGATGAGAGCCAGCCAAGGACAATGTCAGCAAGAACGCTGACTTTCACAAAATATGTGTTAAGTGAACAAAGAAAAAAAAAATGGAAATGATCCATTGTCGCGGCGAACGGCGACAACTGAGTGGGATTATTGTGTTGTTGTTTCTGTTGCCGGTGAGTGCATTGTTTGTAATATTTGCCTTGATTCAATTAATTTCATTTACGCACATACTCAAAAAGATCTAATCAGAAAATTATCTTGCTTACACGCCAAAACCCATTTGAAACCGTTGAAAAGGACACCATTAAATTGTGCAAATGTTGTTCTTCTTGAATCAAGAAGACTTCATATGCTTCAATCAAAGTACTCACTTAGCACAGCTAGATTCAAGCCGTATTGGGCAGCACTGTCACCGACTCCCGTTACCTTTTAAGCTGCCAAACCGACAGTTGAGCTGCGCTTAACGGTACTCATGCTCATCCCCATTATTTTCGTGCTTTTCGTGCTATTCGACTTTCGACTTTAAGCCATGGCAGTTTAAGTTCAGCTATTTGGTGCGCTTGTACTGCCGGCTGTATACAATTTTGTTGGCCCATTGCGTGCTGCATCATTAGTACCGTTATTTTATGCTCTTCCGCTCGTACTGTTTTTCGCCACTTTCATGCGTCTCTTTTACTGTCTGCTTCGCATCCTCTTCTTCGCCTCCTTCTTAGCCTGGCACAATGTTGACAATTAAGTTAAACTTGTTTTCCTACTTCGTTTTGTTTCAGCAATTCCCCTCCCTCTCCCTCTTTCTCTCTCTCTCTCTCTCTCTCTCACACATTCGCACTTCTCCCCTTACCTTCCCTCTTCCTTTCTTACTTGCTCAACTTTGGCCACTGCGTGGTGACTTTTCTATGTCCTGACAATTTTCAGCTACTCCTCGCCACACAGCCCAGAGCTATCTTGACCGCGCTTTGCTGATTATCAATGCTTTGGTCGTCTGCGGCTGACTCGGCTTTTGACTCTGATGCTGATGTGGTTGATAATTATGTGTCCATTTCCCCCACCCCCCAACAACTTCGCTCACTTGCCACTTGGACATTTCTTAATATACCCTGTAAGTTTATACATATATGAGATCTATGATAGGTTTGCTTTACGAATATCCATACAGATATATATATATATATATATATATATATATATATGTATATATACATATTTATTTATATATATATACATATTATTGATCAGGACGATGAGCTGAGTAAATTAAGCTACGTTCGCCTGCCTAAATACTAAAAAAGGCTTTTTAACTTTGAATGTGCATTTTAAATTTCCTATTCCCCAAAATCGTTATAGACAAGTACACAGATCTAGTAACGGCTATGTTTCAAAATGTATATTTAAATATGTAAAAAATTACAATGAGCGCAAACAGCAAAAAATTATAGATCAGCATAGGGAATTTTGATGTCGAGAAGAGAGTTGTTTTATTTGGTGTTGTTTTTTTTGCATTGTCTTCGCCGTCACCGTTGGCCGAATTTCTTTTTTTTATTGTTGACGTTTTGTTAACTTGTTTTTTCCTGTGCGCCACCAACCGTTAACTGCCAACGGCCATTCAGCTCCCAATGTCGCATAGTTCTGGCGGCGGCTGCTGCTCCTTGACTCTTTGCTGTTGCTTTTATTGTTGTCGAAAATTAAATAAAATTAATTACGGCGTGTGTTTGTATACACGCACACGCACACTCACGCACACGCACATAGTGGCAGGCACGCGTCGGCGACATTAACAGAGGGCCTACTTCTCAACCTGTTATTCTACACTACGGAAGCTTTCGTTTGACAGTTGCACGCCTTGCTTGATTCACGCGCGTGTGCGTAAGCGACGAGGACGATGGCAACAAACTATTACCGCTGCCACAGAGTCTTTCAAAAGCTTATATAAACACATACATATTAGGACTTATATGTATGTACATATTTAAATTAGGATGCTGCTATGCAGCTATGCTTAGTTAAGCCATTTCCAGCCTCTTCCAGCGTAAGCTACATAAAGTTTACATTTACATTGTGTATATTTTACACTGTTACTGATCTGTTAAATGAGTTTCACTTCCTGTCAAAGTCAAAGCTTTCTGTCACTGATTTGTTACAGGCAGCCCAAGTAGCCTTTCTCTTTGACGCATTACAGTGTTACAGCGCCAATTGAGCACCAATTTAACATGTTATGCTCGATCTCTTGAACTTAGGACATGGGAAGAGCGTGCGAACGGCATCTTCACCATCATTATTAACATTCCTGGTCCGGTTTGCCAGCAATTATAAATTGTGGCCAAGGAACAGCGAGGGTGTTCCTTGGGCGCCCAAAGGCATACTGTCGCCAGTCGACGGGTGTTGCTTAAAATTAGAAGACGGCTGCTGCTCCGAACAGTTGCCGCTCCGCTCTTTTCTTTCCGTTTTGTCTTCCTTTCTCTCTCTCTCTCTCTCTTCGCCGGCACTACACTGTTCCAGCTTTCGTTTGCTGTCAGTTACATGCATATGGGCGAGTTTGATTGGTGTGTGTGTGTGTGTGGATGTCATTTGGCCACTACAACAACAAAATGAGCAACAAGAATGGGGAGCACATTAGCACCAACAAACACGCTGCTCTCTTTGTGTATCGTTTCGTGCGTTTTCGTTTGGTTTGCTTTATTTATTTATTGTGCGCTTTTAACTTTGTGCACACAGCGACCAACTTCTCCCCCACCCATTCAAAGTCAAAATTGTTCTGTTTGCTGTTAATGTTGTTGTTCTTGTCGTTTTTGTCGCTTTCGTTGTCATTACAGCTACAACTATTAGTTGTTGTTGTTGTTTCCATTGTTCTTGTGGCCTTTCGACTTTATAGTGCTCTGGCATTTGACTTTTTTCATTTCTTTGTGTTACTGTTGCTTTGTGCGAGCGAACAAGTCAAAAAGTCGAATACGAATAGCATCCGAATTGCGTAGCAGTCCGACAGAGACGAAGAGTGCGAGCAAAATGAGAGGAAGGATTACGGGAAGGGGTGGGTGAAGGAGTGACTGGCAAATTGTTCAACATAGTTTGTTACTGCGATAAAAACGAAAATAAAAGCAAAGCAGATAAAATTAAATAGTGGCCGAAGCATACAAGCGGACATTGCACATCGGACTGCGCAGCAGATATGGGAGACCGAGACACACTTACGCCATGGGCGTGTATGATGGGGCGTGGGGCGTGGCAGCACGTACAAAAACTAATCGTTCAATTAAGTTGGCGAATGTTGAGCTAGGTAACCGTTGAGT